CACTATCAACCTTCATGATAAGATTTATTTAATAAGTTTGTTTAAAATAAAACATAAACTAATATCTGCTCTAAACACCGAAATCTACTATAAAGAAATGAACCAACTTCATTCGACCTTTGTGTGATTATAAGTTTGATTCCAATTTAAAACAACTTGTCGAATATATGAAATCAGAAGTTTGGCTACGAGCAATGAAATCGCCGCTAAAACTATGGTTATAATCGCAATCACATCATACGAATTTCCGCTAATAAAACCGAGTCTAAGTACAGGCGATTTTAGAAAATCAGCATTTGGATTGCGCAAAACCCATTCTGTCCACCAAATTGCTCTATCGATCGGTTTCTCTTTTTGATCTCTGAATTGCGTTGACACTTTTTTCATATTTATCAGGTATTTTGGATCTTCTAGAATTTGTTGTAATTTTTCTTTGATGATTTCAGTTGTCATTGTTTGAAAATTAATACCCTCCGCGAAACCAAGTTGAATGGATTTCAATAAATTCTATAATTGAAAATGATCAAAAATAAAGCTCGTTTAGTTATTTAATAAACTTCGTTCGAATATTTACCGTCTTTTGATCATAAGCAATTGGAATTCCGAGAATTGGAACTCCTCTATAAATCGCCTCTTGTGTACTGAGGAGACCTTTTTGGTGGAATGTGCACAGTTAATAAAAAAAAATTTTTTTATTAAAAATACCATACAATTGATTACATTCGACTCACCACAATGTGAAAAGAAGGCCTTGACTTTTGGATGCGCCAAAATGTCTGACTGTGGCAACCATGGACGAATTATCACATTTTTCGGTAGTTCAATGTCGATCGTTTGTTCCTCAAATTTCCACAAAAAATGATAGTCCGGTAGTTGTTCAAATGCATCCAAAATAATTTTTTGTTTTTCAATATCCATCAAACTCGTACGAACGAACGTTCCTAGTGAAAAAAGAATGGCCCCTTTATTCGATGATGCAATAAAATCTTGCAAGTCCTAAAAGAATATTTCGTAAGGATCTTTTGTAACATTTTTTTTTAGAAAATATATGAAACCTTTGGCAATGGTTTCGTCTCTCGAATATGTAAGCCGCCTACAGCAATAACATTCTCTGGTAATGGTGCCGCAACTTGATAGCTTGGATGTGTATTCACAAAAGCAATTGCTGTACGTTGTTCTAACTCCGTTATGGTGGGGTAATTTGATCCGAATTTTTCTTTCATAAGCTTATCAAGTTTTGGATTAAAAACCGCACCACGATCACTAATTTTCGATAGTAATTAATTATCATAAACTGGACCACAAATTATTCATTAAACTTACTATAACTCAACGATATGAACGACAAAATTATATAAGCGCTGCCAGATATTCATGTCATTTTCGTAATGCAGATAATAGTGAGGCACATACGAGTAATACTGATGCGCTCCAATGACAGAATTTAACAAAGAAGGGTTTCCATATGCAGTGACGGATATCTTGAAAATTTATAAAAATAACAATGAAAATTCCAGTAGATAAAAATAGTTAACCAGCTTTTAAAAAAATAAAGCAGAAGTTACCAATGGCGGATTTTTAAACTTATGCATAAATGCAAGCAAACAACCACCGCACGTAAAGTCATAAATAACTAAATCAACGTGAAAATCGTCTGGATATTGCAAAAGTGTTTGAAACCCTTTTTATTCAAGAAGATCTTTGCATGACCAATACCACTCATTATTGAAATTAATCGGTTCTATTAACGGATTCATTAATTCGGACACATTGAATATGTTCCGTTGGATTTCTCGATAAGCCTCATTGTACACCCCCTCCAAATAAATATAATGCACATTTTTCGGTGGATTTTTATGTAAATCGGGCGAAACGAAAGTGATGTTATGACCACGAGCCGCCAAACCATCTGCTAAGGCGCTATTCCTGAAGGAAAATCATTTGATTGAAATATATGATGAATAGAATATTTGAAATATCTTTAAAAAAATAATAATAATAAAATGAACGGCATGATACCAGATTTGATGGCTAGGTGATGGAACTGCACACAAATATAATATGTTAGCTCCATTTGTGAAGCGTGCAGTGAAAAAACAAATTGAAATTAAAAGGCCATATAGAATTTTACTGGACATTTTTTTTATTCAATTCTTAACGTCTCCTCGTTGTGACTGTTTGCTCGCAACTAATAAGATGAAAGATTTTGAAGCAGTTATATTTTTTTCTAAATCACGTGCTCGTTGTGATTATTCAAAATATTTCAATTTTTTGCACTCAATGTCTCGACAAACATTACATGCAATCATGCAATTTAACATTGTCATTGCAAAAATACAATTGTCATCAATTTGTTCGAAAACGCTGCATTTATTTGTTTGGAGAAAATTACATATTATTATCTTAAATATGTTAATTTTTCGTTTTATAATAAAAGATAATATTCACTACAAATATTTCGATTAATAATCGAAGAAATCGAAAGACATGAAAAAATCGCTGCCAGATGTTCATTATTATATCTACGATCAAAAGTACTTTATTTGTATGATAGCTTGAACGATTTATGAATAGACTGAATGATTGATGAGTCCTGCTTAACTAGTGGAAAGACACGAAATTTTACTGCACAAAATCCGAGCATACAAGAAGCTACTAGAAGAATATGTGAATATAATGTGAAAAAATGTCCATATTGATTCTTTCCTATTAAACAATTATTAATCAAAATAACATTAATTAAGTAATGTTTCAGATTTATTTTCAACGCTAGTTTCTCATTTATTTTTTTGAAGGAAGAATTCGAGATCATATTTATTCCTACCCATTCAATTAATCGTAAATTATGACTCATAATCATAACCAGTTGTCGGACTGTGCTGAATTTACTAGATCTGATAAAGTATACATAGAGAATGAAACGATTGTTACAGAGTTGAGTTACAATGATTTGATATGGATTACCTTTCATGCAACAAACTTGTATTTACAACGTCATCTTTACAATGTAAAGTTCGAATTTTCAATGAATCTTCCAAATAAAATATGTTGATGACTAGGAGATAGACACCAATTTCTAGTATGTTTAGTTTCATTTAATATGTATTGAGTTTCTTTTAGTATACAAACAAAACGCAAATATTCTGCTAGTATTTCTAGTATTGAGCCAAATAAATCACATTGCCAGTGTGAAGACATTTATACGGAGAACAATAGAAAACATTGTTCTCACTGAACGCAAATATTTTGTTTACAAATATTCTTTTAGTAGATTCTGATATACGTTTAGTTTTGTATAGTAAAAATGTGTGTCTACCCCCTAGGTTGATGACATTAAAAAATAGCAAAGTAATTCAGTTCTAATAGATGCTCAATTTACGTCTGCCATGAGTTTGATTGTTTACAAAAAAATACTGAATTTATTTTTATATAACGCGGAAAATGAATAATCAGAAAGCATGCTTCAAACAACTTATCAATCTGTTGCAGACATTATATTGAGATATTTTCAGCCGGATGAATCAGTTCATTTCAGCCGGATGAATCAGTTCAGCCAGATATCATCAGGAGCTGAAATTGAATGAAAACAATAGGAGTGATTGTTATGGTTATACTTACACTTACATTGCTACAATCAGTTTTATTGTTTTCACTCCATTTCAGCGCCTGACGATATCTGCCTGAGCTGATTCATCTGGCTGAAAATATCTCAATATACAGGGTGTCTCATATAATTGGGCCACTACTTAGGGTATACATTTCGATTTTTTCTTTTGTTGGTATAATTTTTAAAAATCTGCTTCCATAGAAATTTGAAAAATAAATTTCTACGAGTTTCTATTGGAGTAGATTTTTGAAAACTATACTAACAAAAGAAAAAAAAGAAATTTATACCCTCAGTAGTGGCCCACTTATATGAGACACTCTGTAATGTCTGATCTGTTCTTTGTTATATAGCGTCCATTTCTCCGACCGTATTTTTATAATTTTTGCCTCATTACATCATATATTCTTAAATTGAAATCTACTGCAATTACATATAGGGCTATTTCCAATTTTGAACATCTCTAATCTCTTATCCATAATTTCCATTGGCTACAATTTGAAATTTTAACGTGATAAATTCATATTGGAAAAAACCTCAGAGATAATTAAAAATGACCAGGCCAGCCCTAAATTAAATATTCACGCAAATATCTTATCGTGTTTTTGCTCTCAGTTCAATAACATATGCGGTTGAGATGCTCACGAAATGTTCAACTGACTTATTTAATTTACACAAAAATACATTATAATTATCATCGTAAATATGCATAAGAAAAAAACAATTTTAAAAGAAATAGTTGAGCATAATAAATATTAACAGATTCAGATGTATGATATTTTTTTGTAAAATTTCCATAATGGATATTGCCGCAGAAGATATATTACGCGAATGCGGCGAATTTGAACCCTATCAATGTATAATGCTTCTTATGTTTTGTATAATCAATGTTCTAGTATCTATTCATTACTTTTCACAAACAACAATTCTATTTGTGCCTGATCCCTGGTGAGTTTTCGTTGTGCAAACAAAAGATCTCGAATATGTTTTATATGATATCATTTCTTGAAAAATCTCAAATTTTGAATAGCGTTGAATTAAAAAAAACAACACTCCCCGATTACATATATGTCATTTCGTTTAATTTCAGGTGTTATTACGACGACATCGTAAATAAGTCAATAGATCAAATACGCGAAATATATTCAAATTATTCGAATCCTTCATGCACACCATACAAAACTGATGTTTCATCCGTTGATTTTTTCGGTGCAAACAATACAAATGATGGAGCATGTGATCGATGGATCTATGAATATGATCATGGGTATAAAAGCATGAGCAGTGAAGTAAGTCATTGATATTTTGGTAAACGTTTTTTCAATGTAATTTTTTATAGTTAAATTGGGTGTGCGACTCAGCATGGAAATCGACAATTGGTCAGTCAATGTTTTTTGTGGGTTCAGTTTTCGGAACAACAATTTTTGGTGCAATGGCCGATTCAATTGGTCGTCTTCCCGTCCTAATTTTCTCCAATGTCATGGCACTTATAGACAACGGGCCGTATTCGTAACTAATGAAGAGGAGAAATTCTATCATTTTGAGTGTTTAGATAGAAATAATTTTACTGAATCGACAACAGTTCTTCATTCCGTCAAAAATGACAAAATTCAAACACTAGGCGGACAATTTAATACACAAAATCAGAATGACTAGATCAATAAAACCACTATTAAAAGAGAACTTCAACGTTTTGATTTTAATTTTTTTAGATTTTTTCGAAGTGGAAAGGTCGATGGATTCGCTGATGAAATGAATTTATTTTACGTTGAAACAATCCAATTATTTTTTTTCATTACGAGAATCCAATGGTATTGTTAAAAGCACATCTGAGAAAGGAGAATAACATCTAATGTTCAATGCTTTAGTTTCCTAGTTATTGTTATCATTCTTATGTTAAAAATGTCTTGTCGCGCATTCGTCACAAAGCCAACAAATATTTGACATGTGTTTTGTCGTATAACGATCACAAATTTCATATGATGAACAGAAAGAATTTACTCGGTCAAATCAAGTGAATTCAATTTCCTGAGTAGAAAAATTCTTTACAAATGAAATGTGTTAATGTTGAAATGTTGGACTTTTATTGGGTAAAATCGAGCACATTTTTTTGAACACATTCAGTCATTTCTGCCCGCTATACTGCATTGTATGTATTCTTAATAAGTGCGTGATTGTATAGCTTAGTTCATATATTGAACTTGTAATGAATATTTATT